CTACTACTACTACTACTACTACTACTACTACTACTACTACTACTACTCGATCTGCTGCTGCTGCTACTACTGCTGCTGCTGCTACTACTACTACTTCTTCTTCTACTACTACTACTACTACCACTCCCACTCCCACTCCCACTCCCATAGATTTGCTGTTTGGTGGTCGTCTAGCCTTGCAAGAGCGCAACTGGATGAATGATGTGGCCCGGCCGGTCAGGAAGGGGCTCTTTTGTAGTTTACATGTATCTGATCTGTATTTTTCCATAATTTCTTTGGACAAAGATCCCACAGCAGCCCCTATAAGTACTATACCAGCGTACCAGAGACCAGAGAAGCAACGAAAAAAAGCACCATCCGCGAGGTGACTCTTACCGAGAAAGCTGACATTTGGCCGGATTGGACCACGAACAAAAGGTCTGAACCCAAAAATGCTTCACAACGCTTCACCCATGACGGGTGTTTAACATCCAACCCTCTTGGCCAATCAGCCTCCCTTCCTCCCCACCATCGCCTGGGAGCGAAAGTCCAACAGAATCATCCCAAGTGCCGTCGGCACTGCCGAGGGGTGGCCTCAAGATCTGGGCTGAGGGGCCAGACCCACCTGCCTCTTGGCCGTTTTCTCGCTGGATTTGGAGTGAAACAAGACAGGTGGAGCAGAGCTTGGGTAGGTGAAGTCGAAAAGAATTCATGTTGGCCTGGTCCAAAGACGAACCACCTTTTCATAATCGCACTGTCTATCTTAAGTTGATGATAGATTGTCCTAGACATCTACGACACTCACCTGTGCACAGATCGATCGACACGCAGCGTTTTGGGCCATCCCTTCCCACCTCTTTCCCCTCGGCCCCCATGGGCGAAACAGCCCGGAGGTCTTTGGAAGCAACGGCAAGGTGGACCTGATTTTGTGCCCTGGCCGAAGAAAAGAACATCTGTTTCGACCGACTCCGGGCCCTGGTGACCAGGGCAGGAGCACGCTGGCCAGGCCGTGTTCCTTCCTTGTTTGTAGAGATGAGGAAAGACGAGGAAAGGAGCAAACATGAGCAAACACGTGCAAACACTAAGTCTGTTGAGCAGATGGAGTCAATGGATGGAGTATGTGGATCATTGGGTGATGCAGCGATGCAGCTGCGGCCCTGTTGGCCTTCACCAGCCTTCCCCGTTGACCCGACATCCGATGATACTCCGCGTTCCCCGCGTGAACTTGTGCCCGGCCCAGCACCTGGACGAAAGATACTCGTGCCAAATGGATCATGACCAAGGCCTGGCAAGGGTGAAGAAACTCAAACGACTACCCTCTGACTCATGTTCCATGGAAGTGGATGGCATGGTCCCTTTTGGAAGAGTATATTTTCCCTTTACAAACAGCGGGCGCCACTTTCACGAAACCCTGTGATGTTTTCCTGTGCCAGACTGTGCCATCACCGAACAGGTCTTGGACAAGTCCTTCACCTCAGAAAGCCATATTTAATCCTTTTTACATGGAGCATGAATCCCTTTCTCAGTGGATCCCTTAAGCAGTCAAAAGATGCCAAAAGTAGTAAGGAACCAGGGAGTTTCGTTCGGCCTTCGGTTGAAGTCAAACTGGAACCACTGGTGACCTTCTGCATGTGGCAAGTGGATCCACTGCAACTTGGTTGTAGGCGGCAGATTCTGCAGATTCTTGGAGCTGGTGGAACCCTCCAACATGACAGGTCAACCTGTGCAAAACGTGTTGTATATATATATATGTATATATATATATGTATATATATATATAATATATATCATAGAGTAGATTATTATAGGCCTTTTTATTGGGCATGGCACGGGATGGCACGGGCATCTTGGGACTTGGGTGTTACATGGTGTTACTTTGTTGGTCAAACCGAGAGGTTTGGAATGACCCGCCTTCACTCCAACGGGTAAAACGATCTGTTATTGTTCAGAGGCACCGCAGAGCGAGTTGACCGGCACAGATTTGGGTTCAACTCATTTGACAGCCATCCGATCCCCGGGTATGATGCAAGGACGACAGGTTTTGAAGGACCTGACTGGATTCGAATCAACCTGTCCTACAGCAATCAATTCGGCATGTTACGTGCGACAGGGAGATGGATCTTCACCTCCTTAAGACATCCAACTTGGTGCTCGAACGTCTGACTTCGTCCGACAGACGCCCAACCCCAGCGACGAGAAAGACTCGGGCTCCATTGTCTCGTTTGGCGACGCACTGCTGTATGGCGGTCTGACCTTCGAGAAGGCCACCGTTGTGAGAACGGGGTGAGGAACACGGGTGGGAAAAACCGGGTGGAACCGAGTAGGTGCCACGCGGGACGAGAAGTGGGGTGCATGGTGGGAGACTATCAGGACTGGATGTGACAACCATGGACCTGCTGAAGGCTTGGTGTAGTTGCGGACCAGGGTGCCTTCCATGTTTTGCTTCTGTTTTACGACTATAGCATGACCCAACCCTGAAAAGATGTGAAAAGCTTTGTTGGCAAGAAGTTACTTGTGTTCAGTCATTTTCCTGGTACCAACCCCATTTGGAAGCGAATCGGCAACCAAGTCCTTTTCACATCTGGAGGTTTGGGAAGATGGTTGGCCTATATATATATAGTACAGTATAGGATAGTATAGGCAGCTTTTGAGCAGTTTGCAAAAGGTACTGTTGGATCTTGGCAATTTGGGGGATTAGAACTTAACGGTAGAAAGAGTCGTGAAAGTTGAAAGCTTGGGCAGGCCTGAAAGGACCCTGGCAGGCACAACCCCTAATCTCCTGTCATGTCCTGGTGGTACTACAGGTGGTACCAGTGCCTGCGCCAGTGGTGAACCACCTCGCATGGCTGGTTGCCGCAGGAGATCGAGATCATTTGGGGTATCAAGGCCTCTTGGACCACCGAGATCGGTGCCGCTGGTGCCGTTCATCAAACCCATGGCATCTACTTGGCAGAGATCTACGGGAACCTCGGCTGCAGCCTGGGAAGGAAGGAGTGGCCCTCAGACTGCCACTATGGTGTTGCAGGTGGTTCATAGTGGTTCTCCCTCAGCAAACTGACTAGTTGCAGCCATTTGCCGAGAAAGATGTGTGGCAATACGCAATACCTATCCATCCGATAGGCTAGAAAGGTCTACACATGTTCTATTTATAGAGCAACGGGATTCACTTGTAGGTTCCATCATGCAGATACTTTGAGTTATATTGAAGGAGGTGCAACATAACAACGTGCAGCATAAAGGCTTCCGCGCAGAGGTACGAAGGATGCCGAAGGTTCTTTTAGCTTTCCTGTCTATTGAAGACTTGTCTTAGGCTCTTTGCCTAGTCTCGGCCTGTTTGTAGAAGCTGGTAGATGATGAAGGATACATTAGCACAAAGTTCTAAGTAGTTCCCCTCTTCACAAATTTGGCTCAGCTTTGCTTTGCAAGAGCAACCGCCTGGATCTACCACTGGATCAATACCATACCTTGAACACCCAAAAGCCCGATGTTTTATTTTTTTGAAACGGGTTGATGTTTAATTCAATCAATCCCTGGCACCTGGAAATAGCTCATTTCTGACCTCTTAACTCTTCCTAACCTCCCAATAGATTTGTCTTGGGGATCCATCACCTCCCCAGATGAAATAAATGAGGTGTCAAACATGAGGCTCCCAAACCTTGTCCCTCTCACGGGCTTCATTATTTTGGTGTCAACATGACAGAACAGTCATTAATTAGAAGTTGTTCTGTCGGACCACAAGCAACGTTGTCACTTACCAAAAGCAATGTGGCCTGAAAAAAAAAAACATCTGAGTGAATGCTTTGGATGCTGCAAGTTGCGCCAACTCACCCAACAGTGGCCGAATTGTGACCTTTGATCTCCCCCCCAGCTCAGCTCGAGCCGGCCGAACTTTAGCTGCCTGCGAGGAAGACCATCTTTGAAATTACCCCTGTGCAGATCTACCTGCTTCTTGGCGAGTTTGATAACTGGTTTACTACATGCTGTGGACACGGGTTAGATCTGATCGGGGTGCTAGCCACCAGTGCTGCAGCATGCCTTGGTAAGGAACATATAGGACAATTAATTCCAGACACTGGAAAGCCAAGGTTGCTGAAATTCAACCCCGATGAGCCATGGGACACGCGTGGAAGCCAAGCCGGGCCAAGCCTTTCAAGGGATGTGCGATTTGCAGTGCAAATCCCAGTTGCGGTGCACAAACTTACTGAAGCATCCTGACGCGACATTGAGATCCAAAAACATTTGTGCAAGTGACGGTGGTAATTACGGTTGATAGATGACCTCCTGCTTCACTGCTTCATACCTTGAGAATGGACCATAGTATGGTCCATGGTTTTCTTCGTCTTCAAACGAATGAGGAGTTGCTAAGAGACCTCTCCAAACGAAAGCCTTCGCCGCAGGAAGTACAAGAAGTGGAAGATGTACGTGGGCGTGGGCTACGCCCCTCGACGACTCCGACCGACAAGTGCGTTCCGCGGCGGGACCGGAGCCACCACTCAAGTGACGAGCGAGAGTGACTCGTTGCCCACTCGTAGCTCGGTGAGGAGCTCGGGTGCTACTCATGGGGTGTTTGGTGAGTGATGGTGATATTTAATCTCAGAAAGTTGGAGACAAGGTCAAAGAACCAGGTGTTCTATGTTCCATGATGTTTTGTGTTCAGTTTGAGCCAGGTCTTTGCCAGGTTTGGTTTGCCTTCAGGTGCTGGACACTCTGCAGAGAGAGTACTCTGGAGTATAGCTTCAGACCAAGATCAAAAGTTCCACATTAGATCAGTGTTGCGTGACTAAAGTGGGGAGTAGCAGTGACCTTTTACCTGAGTATTTCGATCAGCATAATCGACTTACCCAACAAAATAGGGGCCAGGCTGTCCTGACCTGCTTCGCGCTTCGCAATGCTCAGGAGTTGGACACTTGGGCACCTTGGATATGGACGGGCAGGGGTAGCGGTTGGGGAGAAGACCAGATTGTAGGGGAGCATGATGTGGGATGGATTCTCAAGAGGCATCGAAAGCGCCGGGCTGAAGATTCAAGCGCACTTCGATTATGAGACAGTCACTTGCGTTCAGAGAAGTAGCCAATTGGCCCCCCGTGGACTGTTCCATGCAACAGAGAATTACAAGAAAAGAGAATAGTGCACAGTCCACAGGGTCTCCAGATTTTGGATATGTATTTTGTTGCACGTTTGCCATGACCAAAGGTCCATCTTCAGCTTGTGCCCTGCGCATGTTCACTGCCCAGTTGTACACCTTCCGCGACGAGTACGAGATCACGACCAGCGAATTGAACTTCTGAGCCAAGGCATTGAGTTGAGCCATGCATAGCGGTGTTGCCTCAAACCCGTGCACCGTTCAGTTCCCGGTTTGAAAATGGGACACCGAGTTCTGGGGGGACAAAGTCTATACTCCTCAAAGCTGGGGTACAAGGCTTGTAGTTACTGTAAAGGTGTGGGTGTGTCTCCCAAACGCGTCTGGCAGACTTCAGCTGGTTGATGTTGTACGCCGCTGTATGCCTCGTTGTCAAATACTCTGAGACAAACCCATGTTCATTCGGAGTCGTGTTAAGCCACGGTTCCGGAGTTGTTTGAAGCACGACGATGGAGGGCACGACCAGAAGCTTCGTGAACGAGGCAAGGCCAAGCAGGAAGATGGTTGGAAGACTATCCAGATGTGTGGACTGAACCGCTAGTGCAAACGATTAATTACTTATATAGGTTCATATAATATGACATATAAATATATACATATATAGACTATATGTTATATAGATATATACGCACACACACACTTACCGCGATATAAGGAACCAGGGGCCCTCGTTCGGTCTACGGTTCAATTCTTTGGAGCCACTGGGAGCGGACTAGTGTACGTACTGGGTATATAACTATATATTTATAGATAATATATAACTAACTTAGTATATATATATATATCATAACTTATATATGTACATATAACTACTTATATATATATAATTCAAGCCCATTCGCGGTATACATAGGGGTCCATCAGAGAATAGTGTTCAGTCATACTGAAAAGGAGGGTCCCAGCGACCCGTGCCGCGCCGGTGCTCCAAAGAGATAGGCACGTGGATCACCTCCTGGAAAAACGCGACAACTAACAGAATCTGAGGAATTTATCCGTTTTGTCACAGAACTACTGCGCAGGATACGAGATTCCTCATTTTTGTGTGAGGTGCTTCTGGTTTGGCTCTCAAAGTTATGGGATGGGATTTACTTGGGATGCCAAAATGGTTTATATATCCTTCATTTCAGTAGTGTTCAGTGGAATATCTCACAACCTGAGAACATAGAAGATCCGGGCGAGGCCCGGCGAGGCCTTTCTGATTCTGCTTGAACCAAAGCATGCCCGTTTTGATGCACTTTGGGCATCCGAAGCTACGTGTCCTTCGCGCTGGAGTTGCTCTCAAAGTGGCATTTTTTTGCTTGCCGGGCAGTGCCGTAGGCAGAAACTACTATTTTTGCTAGCCAGTATGGACCGTTTTGAGAATCCATCTGAATGAATATTTGAATATATTTCAAGATCTTATCACTTCTTGTCACGAGAAGCAAGTGGCTTTCCCAGTCTTTGTCATGATCCATTTGGTGGGAACTCAACAAATCGAAATCATCAAAATCAGCAGGTCGTTGGTGTTCCCATTTGGTGCAAGAGCAAGCACCACCCCAATATGTTTGGCAGTTGAAATTGAAGTAGTTAGGTGTGTATGATGGACAACAAACATGACCCAGTTTTGTTAGGCAGTTGTGCTGCTCATTGTCCACCAAACGCGATTGCCAGGTACACACGATCGCCTTTCCCAAGGTACACAGGAAAGTGGTGTTATTCGGATTCACTATGTTTTCATAAATACATGTTCATTGATGTTCATTGTGATCCACTGCAGAGGTTGTTTGTGAGTAGAAATCTGTGCAACAGTAACTTGAGAGCTGCTCAAATCCACAGAAGAGATTGCAGGGCCAGGCCAGAACTTGTTCTCAAGGGTCGTTGCAGAAGCTTTGCAGAGGCCCCAATCACATACCCGGTGTAGAGGGCCTTCTACTACTGGTTTGATGATTAATGTAATAGAGGCGATACCCCCCAAGTGTACAACCAATTGTGAATGGTGCCAAACCGACCCCTCTATTTTTCCACAAGGACATCACTGATAATCGGTGTAATTGGCAATTGAATCAAACCACACATCTTGGGCGCGATTGGGAGCTGCAAGAAGGTTTATGGTGGAACACTTCTGACCGTGTTGCCTTTTTTGGTCCAACCACGTGACTATCAGAACTGAACCATCGGGAGGCCTGAAAGTGATGAGGATTAATACTTTGGAGACCCATGACACTGCTTCCTGTCATGGGCTTGGTTCTGCAAAATTTCGCCTGTGCACTTCGACAGCTCCAAGAGTCCAAGGGTCAATTATATATCAGAATCCACGCACGAAGCAAAGCACAGAATGCCCAGTACTGGATTGCTTCAAGTGGCCTCATTTGCAAGAGATGCATTTTTGTTGGTTTGGCTCGTGCAGTCGGGGGTGTACCCCTCATGCGTGGTTGGCACGTGACCCTGTTTTTCGAGCCGCGTGTGGCCCCTACGAATCATCGTAGTGTCAATTTGGACCGTTCGCACTGCTTGACGACGATAAACGTATTCAATTAGAATATAATTAAGCAAATATTATACAATATTATATAAATATTATTAATTTTATGAAGCAAAGCCGTTTTTGACGGAAGCTCATGAATTTCTGTGGCCACTTCTTAAGTATTAAGTGCGGGTAGTTCCTTTCATGGTCGCTTGGCGCGAAGTGGCGCGAGTTGTGGGGGCCGAAGTCGTACGCCTTGGTTTGGGATTGCTGGCGGATTCGAATAAGCTTGTTCGAGGTGACCCGTGTGGTTCTAAGGTGGGCCTCTTGGAGCAGGAGCTAGGTCTGTGTGGTCGCACCCGAGAGCTGTTGGAAAGTTGCGAGGAACATTATTTTCTTCTTTATTGGAACCGCATTTGGATCCGTTCACTTTGAGCATTTGCTTTTTCTTTCTAGGGAGGAGGGGTGAGACTGTTGGAAAAGGTGAACCGGTTGATTTGATTGTTGCCTCAATTTTGAGCTTTGGTGAAGAAAAAAACCCAAAAGAAGATGGCTAGCAAGATTCGGTGGCTGCCGTAAGACGCCGTACTCGTGCGCTTCGGGGATGATCCCGCTTTTCTACACTGGCGTGGAGTGCTTAGGCCGGTGAGGGGAGATGATTGTTTTGTGGTGACACCTGACCGAGATTGTTGAGCGGACCACGCTGGAAATAGGGAATAAGTACACTGAAGTGAAGCGAATGGAAGCCAATTGCTTGCCTGTTGGTGTGCGGGATGATAACACTTAGCTCCCCCGTCATAGTGAGAAGGGGGCCATTAGCAGTGCTGAGATGCGAGGACTTGTGGCTAAGGCTGACCGTTTTTATGGCGTTGAGGTTGGGCGAATTCGAATTCGTGGCAAGTTGGATGCTGATGGGCAAGTGGTTGGCCAAGGCTTGGGAGAGCCCTTATAGCCCGAGGTCATTGCTTCGGGGGACACACGTGTCTGGGTAGTGGTTTATAGAACTTCGGGTGGCGAGTTGGATGAAGAGATTATCCCCCTAGCAGATACTCCCGTGATTGAGGTCGGTGGTAAGAGCTGTAAATTTTTTAGTCTGGCAGGAGAAGAATTTTTAATCCGTGGCTTGGCTTTGAAGGAGCTAGACAGCTTCAAGGCTGCCGTGCGAGTTGGGCTGTCCGTGGGGGTTGATAAAGAAGAGCGAGATGTTCGGATTTTGCCGGTGGTGTTTGACAGTGGCGATGAACGATTTCGTATTGTGAGCAAAGCAGTGGCGGAGTTCGATGAGGTGGAATTCGATGATTTCTCCCTACAGGGGCCACGGATGATTGTACATGATTGCCGGCAGCTTTAGCGGCGCATGGGATCGGATTTTCTCTTGCATTATGACGTTTGGTTAAAAAAATCTGGGGTTCGAGCTTCCGATCGATCGATGCACGAGTATGGTAGCGTGTGCAGAGCACTTCATTTCATGATGGTCTATGACTAGCTTAACTTGCCTGCTTTGGCATCGGATTTTCTCTTGCATTATGACGCTTGGTTAAAAAAATCTGGGGTTCGAGCTTCCGATCGATCGATGCACGAATATGGCAGCGTGTGCAGAGCACTTCATTTCATGATGGTCTATGACTAGCTTAATTTGTTTGCTCTGGCAAGTGTAGAGGCGCTTAACAGGCGTCGTGCTCTCGTTGACCACGCCCACCAAGGACGCCTAGACGTTCTTAGCTATGAAGTCGCGGAAGAGATTATGGGCATTAAGGATTTAACCGATGGCAGCTTGGTAGACCCTTCGCTTCTGTAGTATGCCGCCCGTCGATAGGCAGCAAAAGTAGAGGTGTTGAAGTAGATTCGTTTAATCGCCGAGGAAAGGCGGTATATCCGAGAAGACAAGCCTACTAGAAAAGGAGATGGCAAGGGAACTAAGGAGAAACCCTAGGAACAACCTTGAGGAGAAAGATCGGGTTGTTTGTTAAGCAGCCTGAGATTATTTTGGGCACCCAAATATTTTCCAAATTATTTGTACAGAAACATGGGGATCTTTTGCTTTTGCCGCTTCTGTTAGATGATGTTTTTTTCTCCGGAGATTTGGGTGCTATTCGAGGCCGTAGGTCGAAATAGAAAGTTTATAGGAGGAGATTCCTAATTGGCCGTATCAATGACACAATTGCTGGTCTGAACACTTTGGGTGGCTTTACGAAGCCGGACTCTTGGCCTAGGATGGCGTTTAACCAAACTTAGAAGAATTCGTTGAGATTGGTGGAACGGGCCCACAAAAAAAAGACTAGCCCCCACTATGCATGAGACACTTCAGGCCGCGCTTAGGCAACTATTGAGGAAGAAGGCAAGCGGGTATAATATGGCATCCGACTTGTCTGGACAGTTGGCCAATTATTCAAGAGAAACCCTTTCTTTGCCACGGGATTAGCGAAAGCCGATTGATTTGTTAAATTTTGCCTGAGAAAGAGAGGAGGTAGTTGTTAGACTTTGAGACCGAAATGCTTTTGAATGCCGAAGAAATGGCGACTGTTCAAGAGAAGGACTTTGACTATTTGAAGTACATTGATCCGGTTTTGGAACATGATCGCCACAATTACCACGAATTCATTAGTGACCTTCATCGTTGTCGATTGGTCCGGTATACCACCAAACCTCGGGTTCAGGTTGGCATTTTCATCGTGACGAAGAAGGGTGATCGTTAACGACTTATCCTCGACTGTCGTCCTATAACCGGCTCTTCAGGATTCTTTTTTTCCACGAATGCAGACGCTATGTGGGCGGTGTGCCCAGGTCATTATAACCGGCTCTCCTGGGGACGCCTGGAGATGGACGAGGACGCGACTTTATTTGTGGCGCAAGAAGATGTCAGAGATTTTTCTATAGACTGGGTATTGGTGAAGAGTTGAGTAGATATTTTGCCTTGGCTGCTGTAGATGTGTTGGTTTATTTCATGACGTGCTTGGCCACACTCCCCCAGAAATTCAAAATCTTTTGGATTCTCATGGAGGCCCTTTTTATCCATGCATGCGAGTGCTGCCCATGGGTTTTTCGTGGGCTTTCCACTTGGCTTACCAATGCCACGTAGAGCTCGCTCGTCGTTCTCTACC